TGCCACAGTAGGTAGTCTCGCGGGAAATGGATTTGGAAGGTGGTGGCAGTGAATTGCGGGTGGCGGCAGTAGGGATGAGATTTAGAACCAGAAAACCGGACCGGAACCAGAATCAGACCGAAATCGGAACCGTTAGAACCGGAATAAATAGAACCGGTTCCGGTTCTGGGTTTAAAATTTGGCATTATCCAGGTTTCGGGTAATCCGGGTTTGGGTCCATCGGGTCCGGGTAAACCGGGTCTATAAACCAGAACCACTTTTAGGGCCGTAACCGGTTTTTGTGAAACGTTTAAAGATGCATATCTCATTTGTTTTAACTCCGATTGACATGAGGTTTTTTTTTTCAAAGTGTAATTTAGAGTTTGTACATGATTTTAGACTATAAACTTGCCATTTTGAATTTTATATTCATTGACTTACAGTCCCCCAAAGTCGAGATATCAAAGTTGAAAGTTTTTAGTTTTCAGTTTTTTTGTATTCTGTGAAAGTTTTAAAACATGCATATATATTTCGTTTGAAGTCGGATTGACATGTGGCTTTTTCCAACTTGTAGTTTAGAGTTTGTAGATGAGTTTAGACTATAATTTTGTCATTTTTGGTTTAATATTCAATGATTTACAGTCCCCCGAAGTCGGGATATCAAAACTGTAAATTTTAACCTTTTCAGCTATTTGTTTTTGTACTTTGTATTCTGTGAAAATGTTAAAACATGCATATCTCATTCGTTTAAAGTCGGATTGACATGAGGCCTTTTCCAGAGTGTATTTTAGAGTTTATACATGATTTTAGACTATAATTTTGTCAATTTTGGTTTCATATTCAATGAGTTACAGTCCCCCAAATTCGGGATATCAATATGAAAATTTTCAAAGTTCAACCCACTAAGTAGTAAGTAATTACCAAAAAATTCCGGTTTTTCCGGTTCTAAACCCACTTTATCTGGTTCCAGCCTACCCACTTTGATGTTTTCGGGTTTTTCGGTTCTAGACCCACTTTACCCGGTACCGTACCTGGAACCGAACCGGAACTGGTTCCTATATACCGGTCCGGTTTCTGGTCTACAAAATCCCTTTAACCGGTCTCGGGTTTTCCGAGTCCGGGTCCATCCAGTCCGGGTTTGGACCCACTTTCATCCATAGGCGGTAGTGGGATGGCAGCAAGGTGGTTGCCACTCGTTTCTTCCTTCTTCTGGGCAGTTACCGATGAGGGGAAGGAGGGGGAAGTGTGGGGTGGGGGTATTTTGATTAAGAGAGGGAGGTATAAGGGTGGTTTGAGGTGGTAGTTTTATGGTGGTGGAAGGTTGGTGTTGTGGTGGTGTTTTTCCAACTCAAGAAGAAGAATGGAGAGAGTATGGATTGAGAGAAGAAGGCTGATGTTTTTGGTGTGGAAAGTGAGAGCTCAAGGCCCACTGCTTCTTAAGTTCACTCACAAGCCCTTGAGGTCATGCTTCACCACATACTTTGTACTCATTGGAAAGGAGTGCACACCATAGGAAGGGTGAGAGGAAAGAAAGAAGAAGAAAGAAAAACATGGGAGAGAATAAGAAAGATTAGATTTTTGAGCAAAATAGGTCTTGGTGGGTTCCACAAGGTGTCATACTCTCTTAAATGGTCTAAAAACATCTTATTTTGGTGTATCGGGATCCCGATGTTGAGAAATTTTTCCGAAACTCTATTAAATAGAGTTTACTTCAAGGATTCCAAAAACACAAACAAATTAATTTTTCGAGTTAAGGAACTCCGGGAAATTGCGTTTAAAGTTTCGCGTCTAAATAGCACGTAACGCTCGGTTTTTCGATTTCTGCAATTATTATCGCTAAAAATAGTTTGAGTATGAAATTAAATATTAGGCTATATCCTGAGTTCAAAACGCTCTCGGAATTTTCCATCGGAGGTGTGTAAGTGCCTCAACGGATCGATTCGGTTTTACGTAATTAAAGAAAACTAATGTTTTACTGTTTGTTTTCTTAAAACTGTCATATCTTTTGCATACGAGCTCAATTTTTGGACATTCTTTATATTTTCGGAAACAGTGGAACATGTACTATAAGGTTTTAATGTTTGCTTTGCTCAAAATTGCTTAATACGAAATTTCAGTTTTTCAGACGCATTAACCGGTGTTGCAGTTTGAGCTGTTTGATTCGTTTAACAGTTTACACATTTGGAAGTATGGTATCGTTTGATATCTTATAATATTTGAAATGAACTCATTTATTTCACATTAGATGCACTAAAACTGAATGAGTTAAATTTCAAAAAGATTTACTGAAATTTAATCGTTCGCAGTCTATGACCTAAATTTCGGGATGTCACACAGGCGTATTAAGCAAATAAAATTTTCATTGCTGATTGCACTAATAATATAGCACAGGGAAGCAATGTCGAATCCTCAGGGACACAACCTAATGGTCAATGCCTTTTTGCATCAGACACATTCTAGTCAATAAAACAGAAATTATAAGGGGGGGGGGGTTTAATTAAACTAAAAACTAAAAATTGCAATCAGTTCGGATCTGGTTATTCAGAATGTGTTCTATCTAAACTAGTACTGAGAAAAACTAACAGGCTCTAGTATAATCTCATTACCTAAATTAGTTAACCAAAACAAGCTCTTTAAAATAACCCTAACTTTTTACTGTTCTATCAAACAAGCTCTTAATTAAAGTAGAAAAGCAACTTTATGATCTGTGTAAAATTCCCAACAATACCCAATACTTCTCATAAGCTCGAAATCTTAAAGATATGACTTTTACAGTTTATATCAGAGTTAAATCCCAACACAGAACCAATCTGATACTTGTTACTTATTACCAATTGACAAGAAAAATTACAGATTCTATTAACTGATTAACTGGAATGATAAAACCCTAGCTAGGTGATCAAACTAATAAGAATTAAAAATCAAACGTTCATTAAGCTCAAAACTGAAAAATCAAGATAGAAACACAAAAAGAAAACTAGATCTGAAAACTAATCACATGAAAAGTACTAGTCTATGCATAACTGAACACTAGGGTTTTAGCCAGACATGGCTAAAAACAAATCTAAACTAATAAAAAGAAACATTAACCAAATAATCGTCTAAACTAAACAAATGAGATGAATCGCAACCTTCAGATCCTCAGGAATCGCTGAAAGATATCAGAAATCGCCTTCAAAAATGTTTTTCGTCGCCTGGAATCGTCTAACCTTCTAATCTGATAATGAGGGTTGTATTTATATGCAAGACGGAAGCTTATAGAGAAAGAAACCAAAAAATGTGATCGTAGTTTTCAGATATGCGATCGCAGAAAATAACATTTTTTCCATATTTACCCCTAAAAGATGTAAGAGGATATGTTTGACGTTTCTGGAACTGTGGGACAAAAATGCGATCGCAGAAAGACAATATGTGATCGTAGTTTTTTGAATTTCTTCCAGGATTGTGTTTGAATGAAGTACGAAGCCATATTTGAAGTTTCTGGAGTTGTGGGATAAAAATGCGATCGCAGAAAGGCATTATGCGATCGCAGATTTGGTCTTTTCTTCTCAGATAGCCTCCAGATGACTTATTTCAACCCTGGGGAACTTCGTGACATTTATGCGATCGCAGAAAAGAGAATTGCGATCGCATATCTGAGTTTCTGGCTCGTTTCGGACACGATTCTTCAGTTTAAGCACTCCTTGTTATTCCTTAGCATCCTTCTTCAGTTTCAGCTCCATTTAAGCTCCAAACATGCATTCATCTGCTCCCAAAGTACTGGTCCACTCGATCTATCATAAAACGACGCAAAAACGCTAGCAGTACGAAAATTCTGATAAAAGACATGAGCTGAACATTATTTAAACAAATGACGTGCAAATGTACAAAATATGTTGCTAAATGCTAATAAAAACTACCCTAAATATACATAAAATGACATCTATCACCCTACATGCACTCTATACCCGTTTCTATGATCTTTATATCCAGGTGAAAGTGGGAACATACTCTACAAATCTGTCAAGTCATTTCTTACCGACTTAATACATGTTTCTAAACGTATACCCAATACATACACTTTATATACGTACATGCTCTGATACATGTTTCTAAACGTATACCCCATACCTATACTCTACATTTTTCTATGATCTTTATATCAACACGAATGTGAGAACATACTCTATAAATCTGTTCAGTCATTTTTCACTGACTTAATACGGGTCTTAATCTATTAAGTCACAAAGTTGGCCCAAAAACATAATATTTCCCATTTACCCTTTTGATCAAAATGCATCTTCTCGTGCATTTCTTCTCTTAAACTTACTTATCTTGACCATTTTCATGAAGTCACAACTTCATAAATCTTATAATTTCTCATAAATGACCATTTTGCCCTTTTGGTCAATAGCTGACTAAAAGTCATCTCTCTATAAATTTTAGGTTCTTACAATGATACCCCATCTGCAATGACATTTGTATGGTTTATAAGTACATTGTCATTATCAAGTGTCCAATTTAGTACAAATTACAATTACCGTTATTTATAAGTACATTGCCTTTATGTTTGTCCAATTTAGTGCACGCAATTAAACATTGCAAGAATTGTATGTATATAGCCATTATCAAACATGTTGAAATGCATTACCATTAGAATTAGTTCACCAAATTACATGAGTAAATTTCCACCATTAACAGTTTACATATCAATATACGACCATTACAATTATACCATGATAAAAAAATGTAGTTTGGTCAACATTAATTACTACCCAACTTAGCAAAACATCAAAACTACCAACTAACCACACTAACCAAAACACCAATTTAGACCATTCACCCAAAAGCACCCAACTAAATGCATGACGAGACAGAGGAAATAATGGTTAATTTAGGGCTTCATAATACAACAATAGTGTGTTTTGGTATCGATACAAAAATGAACAGTTCATGAGTTTTCTGCTACAACACTAATTACGAAACAAATCAGTGTTTCCTTGTGAGAAAAAAGAAAAAAAAAATCAATCATTCATCATCATTTATATCACAGTCAATGGTGAAGCAGATCGATCAAAGCTACCACGAATCACTCGTGCCTGAGTACTCCTCTTCTTCATCGGGCTCATTCCAACTCCGGATTTACCACCGGTTTTATTTCCATCGGCGAGAACTCTTGTGATTCCGGCGTAATTCAGAGACTCTGCAATTTCCATCGCCGTGAAACCCTTATTCGTTCTTGCTTCCACATCAGCACCTCTTTTCACTAACAACTCAAGCACATCAACATGCCCAGATTCCACAGCACAGTGTAAAGCAGTATACCCATCTTCATCTCTAGCATCAATATCAACGCCATTTTTAATCAAAACCCTAACCACATCAGTCCTTCCCATAAACGACGCCCGGTGTAAAACCGTCCATCCATTCTGATCTTCACCGGTAATGGCCACTCCACCTTTAAGAAGCTTATTAACGGTTCTAATATCACCTTTCGTTGCAGCCATACACAAGGTATCACCTAACCCGAGTACAGAAAACAGCCGTGTATGTCCATGCTCATTAGCAACATCATACGCTGTTTTCTTAAATCTATTTATAATATTCTTATTAGCTCCTTTTTGTAATAAAAGCTTCACCATGTTATCATCTCCAAGAGCTGCAGCTATATGTAACGGAGTCTCGTCTCCATTACCATTACATATATTAGTCTCTGCACCGCTAGTCAACAACAACCGTGCACAGTCTCGTCTCCGCCCCTCCACCGCCATGTGCAAAGCGGTATTCCCGTCTTTCGTCAGCTCATCGACATTAACACCTTTTGATAAAAGGAGCTTCAGAATGTCGATATGACCAGATCCAGCTGCTAGATGGATCGGGCCATATGTAGATGGCTCAACCCGCTCTATGACTGCTCTATGCGCCAACAAGAGCTCCACAATCAAACCTTCACCTGAGGTTACCGCAGCTTCAAGTGGGGTTGATCCTGAGTGAGCTCGAGCCATTATATCCGGCTCGAACTCGAGTAGGACTTGAACCAGGTCGGCTCGATGTTGAGAGATTGCTAAATGAAGTAAAGTCTGACCTTCGGAGTCAACAGAATCTACCGTTTTCCAAGATGGGTCACTCTTTTCTAACACGTCTCTTATTTCATCTATAGATCCGTTGGTGATGAGTTTGGCGATCACCATTGATCCGACAAACATGATCTTGACTCCACTATCGACGAACACTTGCTTCTTTTTTGTAGTAAACCAGTCACTAGGGACTGAATCGTTAGAACTGTTCTTAACTCCGGCACCGGGAACCACCACGCTGTGCAAGAAGAACGGATCACCACAGTAAGGGTATGATTCCGGGAGTGTGGAATTTGGCGGGAGATCATAAATGATCTGCAGAGTGACAGTTGTCAGTGGATATATGATTCCAGACTGTGGACGGACGGTGTACCGGAGCTTATTCACCGGTTGTAGGCGGAAGGCCACTGGCATGGTGTACATGACGTTTCTTAAAGTGAGCTTACCGGTACACTTTTGGCCTTGTTCGACACGTATTACAACCACATTGGATGGCTCCAAAGTTATTAATCTGTCCATGATCTGTTTTCCTCGGTCGACAAGCCTCACCCGAGTCTTCTTCTCCGATGGGTCTTTTTTTTTTGAGGAAAAGAGAAACCGGTTAAGTAAAATGGTGTTGGAAGTTGAAGAAAATTGTTGGACTGTTGTATAAGTACAAGTGAGAGTTGAAAGAGTGCCGGCTGTTACGATGCGACGTCATAGCTTGGTGTGAGGAACAATGTTGACTTGTTCTATTTGGCGTCCAAAGTTGTATAACTTCAAGACACTCAATTTGTACGGGATCATATGTCAACTTATTTGACATAAGTTCAAATGCATAAAAATTATTAAAATATATTTTGAGTTAACCTCGAGCAAGTAACACAAAAATTACTGATCAGTCTAATGGGAATGGGGTAGGAGTCACTGATAATACATTAAAAAAAAAAAAAAAAAAAAAAAAAAAAAAAAAAAAACCTATCTAAATGGGATGAGGCTTCTTTAATTAGCATTGCTTTTTCGGTTTCGGGTAAATCGACTAAAGAAAGATATCTTATTTGGTTCGACATTGGTTAATGTTTACAATATTTCAGATTTTCAGTTAAACTGAATGATCTAAATAAGCAAATAGATTAATATTTTTACGTTTTAGTTTTTAGATGTGAAATTTACATCCGGAGTTGTCTAATGTTAAAGAGTAAATTACACGAATGGTCCCTATGGTTTGGGGCAATTTGCACGTTTGGTCCCTAACTTATTTTTTTAACTCGGAAGGTCCCTACAGTTTGTTTTTATTGCGCGTTTGGTCCCTGTCTTAACTAAAAAGACTATTTTTCCTTGATTTTTTAATTTATTTAAATAAGGTGGGATAGGTAAGATGAGGTGGAAGTGAGATTGGGGATGTGTTTATTTAAATAAATTAAAAAATCAATGACAAAATAGTCTTTTTAGGTAAGACAGAGACCAAACGCGCAACAAAAACAAACAGTAGGGACCTTCTGAGTTAAAAAAATAAGTTAGGGACCAAACGTGCAAATTTCCCCAAACCATAGGGACCATTCGTGTAATTTACTCAAATGTTAAAACATCCTACAAATTGTAAAAATTGGTGTCTGACTTTTTTTTATTTATTTATTACAAAATTTCAAATTGAAGATGTTTTTTTAACACTAAACTAATATATGGTTGATGTGCATTTGGGTTTACATACCTTATATTCAAGGAAGAATTATATTCTAGAATTGAAATTCTATTAAGTTTACCTAGGGCGTGTTCGGCATGGAGCGTTTGAGAGCGTTTGAGAGCTTCTAGCTTCTAGCTTCTAGCGTTTGACAAAACGCTCCGTTTTGAACAGAAAGTCTCGTTCGGTACTACAAGCTTCTAGCGTTTATTTTAAACAAAACGCTTCAAATCCAAATGTTACTTCATGTAGCGTTTAACAAAACGCTACAAGCTACTTGCTACCCGCTACAAGCCACCCGCTATCAGCTATTTTTGCTGAACACGCCCCTAGTTGAACAAACTAAATAACCCAAAATGTGATTAAAACAAACCTCTTGATTTACTTATACTTAGTTTAGATTTGTTAGTATAATGCGTTAAAATATGCCTTTATAGTTTAATTTTATCAATAGAAACAAAATATTGTTGATATTGTTTCCTAACTTAGTATGGTTCCTACAAGACATGTTTTGGTGTATGTTATGACCTCTGAGTGTTGATAAAAGTTGATAGATAGGCTAATGTTGGAAATATGCGAAGTTGTAAGGATTTGTCAAGTGTTGAAGATGGGGAGTAGTTGGAATACCGAAGCTATACAATTATCACATACTGATACATACAAGATTATAAGCTCCTTCCAATACGCTATATAAAGGGATCAATGTAATAATATTTTCATGTTAATCTCCATTTCTCTTTACTGTATAAGGGCGAAATATTTTAGATGCGTGAAGGTTTTGTTAGTTTAGATTTATGATTATGTAAAACATTTGAGTAATCCATTTTTGTGCTTTTAATCATGGTATCAAAGCACATAAGTTAGTGGCATTATCTCCATTTATTGATTAGGGTTTCTGGTTTATAAACCTCTAAACTTTTCTTATTTATTGAACTAACTGTGTTTTAATCCTAGATCTATGCTCTTAGATCTAAAATATTTCAACCTTTATTTTGTCTTGATTCAAGATCAGGCTATTAGATATAGTGTTTTTCCACAATATAAATCTTCTGGAGGTATCTTTTAAGAATTTGAAAGTTCAAAACCTTATGTTCTTTAATTATGCTTGTTTAACTTACTATGTAACAAACAATAAATAATTTATTCGTTATAGTGAATCCTTCATTCATTGTTTGTTCAACAAAGAATAGTGAATCATTCATTCATTGTTCTGAGCGCCATGATAATAAGTTTATCCTTGAAATTAAGGTTTACAATTATATATGATGTTAGGATTTCTTCATATTGCTTTGGTGGTTCATAATGTTCATTGACATGATATTATGTTGGTTTCAAGTCGTCTACCCAAACCTAGGGTATGTTATTCTTTGATGAAGATATTGTAATTGATTCTTACAATATGTTCGCTTAGTTATGGGTTGCTTAAGCTTACATATGTAAGTCTTTATTTCTTTTTTTGCTGATATTGTAGTGTGTGTGATTGTTTGAGGTGCTTTGTAAGTCTTTTATCCTACTCCTCTTTGTAGCAGGAGTTGATAAAACTACTAATGAGTACATTATTGGCATATAGGGGGATCAAATATGATACTACTTTTGTTAAAAAGCATATCACATGTTATACGCATATTTTGGGATATTTTATTTCTACTGTGTATACATGTTCATTTGTTGTGTATGTTATGTGCATATCTACACTTTTCTCAACCTATATGTTGACCTTGATCAACTAGGCCGACAAGTGTGAATTCCTATTGTCATAAGCATTATTGTTGATTGATCGTGTGATATATCTTCAATATGGTTCAAAAGGTCCTAAGTCTTCAACCTCTCTAACTCAAGTTTTGGTGTCGTTGGTTCCAAAGAAGTCACTTACATTCTTTAATTGTACCTATGTGACAGTGGAACTTTATCCATTTGGGTTCAGACTGACTAGTATCGACAACTACAAAGTATAGAGTACATCTATTTTTATGATCTTATAGATAGAAATAAAGTTAGCTCTATTTGCAAATATCCGTTAAAAAATATAATGAAACTAAAGATAAATAGTGGGTTGTTTTTGATGTCGTGGTCCTAAATTGGTTATTAGGGTATGTTAGTGACAAACCTTATATGTCCCACGATTACGTTGAAAGTTTTCTTGTTTCTTGGCAAGAACTAAAAGAAACCTATGAGAAGTTTCATGGCCCAATGGTCTTAAACCGTTATATAAACTAAACTCTTCGAATCAAAGTAACCTTAGTTTTTTAGATTACTCTAACAAATTTAATTCCTTGTGGAAAACCTTTGATACTTTAACTAATCTCACTAAGTGTCTTTGTAATTCTTCAAAATCTTATGTCTATTACAATGAACAAATAATGACCTCCTTGTCTATCATCTCTCTTGAGGGAAACCTTTCCCTCATGAACGTTCTATTTATATATGGTATATCTTGAGGAGTCTGACAAAGGTAGTAAACCCATCTCTAATTCTGATAAGGGCCAACACTCTATGCTTATAAGTAAAGTAAATAAACCTAAGAATATATATATATATATAATATATATATATATATATATATATATATATATATCATAGTCAAAATTTTAATATTACTGGTAAACATTATAATATGAAAGGGAATGTAATATTGAGATTTAATAAACTGGTTGGCTATACTAACTTTAATTTCAAGAATGATAACAAATTAAAACATAAATCTTTCTCTATAGACAATAATGTATCTGATACCTTAGCACAATTCCTTATTGAAACTCGGTTTCCTAATCACCTAATCAGAGATAGGTGACATGTGCTCTCTGATCCTACTACTTCTAATAGTTTTTCTCCAAGGAATTATAATAGAGAGTCTAGGCTCCTTAGGAAGTTCATTGTTTTCATTTTTGAAGGAAAACATAAGTATGGTGTCGAAGTGGTTGTAAATTATTCTAATTTGTTTCATAATTAATGAGTGCCCAAATTATATAAATTCATAGAACTTAGTTCCTATTATGAAGCATATTTAGATTAAATCCCAATAGTGGTCATGAATGATGAAACAAAGACATAATAATAGGACTTCGGTTGCGTAACACCCGATTCCTGATATCTATACTATTGCTTAAGTATTTGATTTTGAGATTTGGGAGAAAAGGGTTTTGGCAGAGGCGTGGGGCGTCACTTAGAAGGTGTAGCACGTCTGATGTGCGGCATGTCTCATGGTAGGCACGCCGCATCCTTGTTGTTTAATGAAACCCTAATTTTGGGCCTTAGGCCATATTTAAAGGATCGAATCACCAGGGTTTGCCTCATTTGGCAGCCTCCACTTCCAGAAACGTTTTCTTTACCAAACCCTAGCCTCCATAGAGAGTTTTAAGCTTTGTTCTTGTTTTATGTGAAGTTGGAAGAAGAAAGATATCAGTTTTGGTGCAAGGAAGCATTGCTACAGCCTAGATCCAGCTTCTTTGCCCATTTCTGGAACATTGTGAGCGTAAAGATCCTAACTTGATGCTTTTTCTTTTAAATCTATTTTTGTGAGAGTTTTTGGCACATTTTGGTCCCTTACTTGGTGTTCTTGGAGTTTGGAGGACTCCAATACTTTAGGGATGACTTATTTGGCTTCTGAACGTTTGGATGATGGAAAATTTTGATTACATGTTCTTTCCTTGTGCCATGCATGAGTTTTGGTCCTTATTGATTAGTTATGAATGAGATTAAGATATGAAGTTTTGAACCTGTTGTTGGATTAATGTCTAAGTCCATAACTATATTTGGTATGTACTTGACCCGACCCGGCATGGTCCATTTGGGTTGCACTTCACCGACACAATTTATATGGATAGTCTTTTGAGAATAGTATATTTATGATTTATATTAA